ACTGGCTCAAAGGTCAATAAATGCGAATAAAGCATGGAAGTGCCCTCCAAGGCAAAGAAATAGCAGCCTGGCCATTCCTAATAGTCTTTAGGAGCTGCCTCGAGGCCCTGTGGCCCCCTGGTGACCCATTCTCACTCAACACAATATGTTTTCTCAGTTTCTGACTTCCGCTGTGGTTTACGGATGTTCACTTTTTTTTGGTCTAACACTATAAGCAAACAAGACGAGTTGTCACTTCCTCATTTTCAAGCCCTACTCCACGTGGGGGCCAGAAATCTCTTTCAAGCTTCAAATTGTGAAGGGTTCCTGGGTGAGCAGAGGGTCTCGGTCCCCCTCTCCGGGGGCTCTTGGATGGGACCTTGCTCTGGAAGAAGCCATGGACCTCTGGCTTTGGTCACTTTACTTCCTGCCGGGTAAGTGCTTTGGGGAAACACCTCAGATGCCTTTGAGGGTTGAATTGGCCACAGGCAGGGGAGTTGCTTGATGTTTTTGGATGGACTTAGTTGTAAACTGGTACCTAGGGCAGGACAGGATGAAGGCCACAGGCCGCATTGGAGGCCCCCCCTACTCCCAGCTAGAGCCCCTCTCTGCTCTCCAGACACACCTCCTGTTTGGCTCAGGGGTTGACTTGTAAGAGCCGAAGTGTCACCTTTCCCAGACATATTTGCCTGGTAACATGGGATCTCAAAGTAAATGCCTCCAAAATTACTTCTTCTCACTACTACATCCTCTTTCTTTGGATCTCTTTTACTGCTGAATTTTCAAAGTTCAAATCTAAATGAAGATTCCCTAATCCATCTGGTAGCCCTAATCCATTGCCCGAGCTCCATATCCCGATTTCCAGCGGCCTCCTGGGCACCCCGACTTCCCCATCCCATCAAGGTCGGAAACACAACAAGCCTAACGCTCAGCCTCACATTCCTCATTGGTCACCACCCAACTCAGCTACTCGATCTGTCTTAACTGTCTCTGACATCAGCTGCAAAATGCCAAAGCAGCTCTTTACCACCTCGTCCCTATTATCCCCAAACAGACTTTGACCCCAGCAACGGCCAATTCATGTAGTTTCTACAGTCGTATGTACCAGGATGGGAAGCAGTGGCAGCCCCAGTGAGAGGCGTAACCAAGGGAGCACAGGACACCTCTAAACTAGCTCTTCCACTTCCTCGGCTGGACCTGCCTGTAGCGCCACATCTGCCTTCCTTGATCTTGACTCTAACCGTATGATCATCCTTCCCAACAGTCTTCAGTGGCTCCCACTGTCTACTGAATCAGACTCCTTAAACACAAACTCCTCCCTCGGACTCCCCTCTTATATGATGAGCTTTCCACGCTCCCCTGAACTGTCCTAACCTCCAGCCAACGGGAGTCCTCCTTGAACACGAAAGTGCTAGACTCCTGCCACCATACCTTTGTTCCTGCCATTCCTTCTGCCAGGAATACCTCCACCATTTATGGGTCCTTCAAAATCCACCTCAACCTCCGCCTCCTTCTTATACACTCTCTAGAGCCTCCTTTTCTGAATCCCAACAGCTGACCCCCTTCTGCCTTGTACTGTGGGTCGGGGTGTGTCCACCATATTTTATTGAATCAATGTTAAGCATTTTGAGGGTCAAAATGGTTTTTTATCCGTATTTGCTTTCTGTGCGATGGTTGGAGCATAGAGGAAAGTCAGATGTTGGTTGAGTCGAAGATTGGAAAGCCCTAAAAGCCCAAGGGAATGGAGGTTTAATGAAATAGACTCTGTGAGAAGTAGTAAGACGTATGTGAGCACAGTGGATGGTTAACTCAGACCCGAGAGGGAAGAGGTATTGGTTGAAAGTGGAAGATCTCTAGGAGAATGGAATCTAAATTGTACCACCACTGTCTGTCCTGAGCAGTATCACCATTCTAGCTGAGCCAGAGAGAGCCGTGCCCTGGGACTGGTCCTTCTCCATTTGTGCCCATCCCCACAGGATGGGGAGTTCAAGGTGCAAAAGGATGTGCCCACCCTAAGCCCACACCCACACCCACACCCCCTCCTCTAGACCTCAACTTCCCTGTCCAAATGACTCTGGGCCCACTGTCAACGACTGTGTGAGTCTCTATCCTGGGTCTTCTATCCTAGGGTGACCCCTTGGCCTATAAAAGGGTAACTACAGGTAGCTGTTTGGGAAGGTGACAGATGGAGCTTGTACATTCACCATGTGAATGCCAGGACCCTTGCAGTGTGGGCAGGAGCCAGGGATGAGAACAGAAGGGAGAGAGGCCAGAGACTGGAGACAGACTACAGGCCATTTTTTCTTGCATTTCCGTGTTTTAGACTGGACATCCAAGGAATGTGTAAATTTGTCAAGATAGAGGGGTAGAACATACTTTATTCAACAGTTTCTTAGCCTGATTTATAACTTTAAAATACTTAGACATATGATATTTGGGTCTTATTTGTATTCCTGTCCCAGGTCCTGTAAATGTTGGGATGGTCCTGGTCTCAGAGCCCAGTGCATGAGGCACATTTCCTAGAGCCCTCAGTGGAGTTTTGTAACAAAGCAAGGCAGCTGCACATAGTGTAGGCTTTCAAACCTTTTCACTTTGACCCATAATAATGATACATATACTTGATGGTGTGACCTAGTATACACACACATACACACACCTAAAATTTATTCTTTTTGTACATTGGAGTATATTCACTTTCAATGTGTCCATTTCTGGTGTACAGCGTAATGTCCCAGTCATGCCTATATATACACACATATATTTGTTTTCATTAAAGGTTATTACAAGATATTAAATATAGTTTCCTGTGCTATACAGAAAAAAAAACTTGTTCTCTATCTATTTTTATGTATATGGGTTATCATTTGCAAAATTTATTCTTGATTCTTCAATCTGGGAATGACTTCAGGGCTCTAGCATTTGGATGGATGTCAGTATTGTTTTTCTGAGATGGGAAGAGCTTGTGAAGGAACAGGTTTTGAAGGAAAAATAGAAGTTTTGTTTGTTTGTTTGTTTGTTTGTTTCCATTATAAATTTGAAATAGATCTTAGACGTTTGAGTGAAGTCCAGGTAGAGGTGTCCAAAACACACATCTGGAGCTGAGAGGTGAAGCCGAGACTGGAGATCCATGTTTCCATGAGATCTCTGTAGGGTCGGCATTAAAAGCCATGGGAGTAGATGAGCTTGGGGTGGGGAGGGTGGAGCAAAGGAGGACAGAGAAGAGAACTGGCCCCAACTCCAGCCCCTGACTCAGCCCAGCACCGTTAGAGAAGAAGAAAGCACGAACAAACAAGGAAATGCACATAAGGAGATTGAAAAGGAAGAGCCACTGACAGCGGGGTGTCAGGGAAGAGGAGAAAGCGTTCCAAGGTGGGAAGGCTCAGTTCCAACAAATGCTGCCAAGAAGTTGAGAAAAACAAGACAAAGAAGTGACCACCCAACCGGGCAACAAAGGAAAATTTTGGTGACCGTGACCAGAGCAGTTTCAGTGGAATATCGGAGACAAAATTCTGACAGATGTAGGTGGAAGAGGAATTGGGAGATGTGGAAGTGGATTTAGTGATTTTGAGGAATAAAACAGAAGTGGGGCGGGGGAGGGGGTGGGTAGATGTAGGGGAGCTGAAAAGTCGACTGAGGGGTCCAATGTGGGCACTAACAGGGCGCATACGCGTGTCACCCGCGGCGGTGCCGGAGGACGAGAACCAGCGAGGCAGCTAGGGGAAGGGGCTAATTACAGAAGAGAAGCGCTAAAGGAGGTGACAGGTGAGGGGAAGGGGACAGTCCATTCACAGCGACAGGACCAAGGGCAGACCGCAGGCTGGACACACACAGGTCAGTGTTGGCAGAAGTGGGAAGGAGCAGAGGATGTTTTACATCCTTTAAAAAAACAAATCCATGCTCCGTCTGATAAACAGAAACCTCTCAGGCTAGCGCCTCTCTTCCAGAGATTCAGCTGTGAGGAATCTAGACGGTCCTCATCACCACTCCCACCTGGAAAATCACGGGTACATGGAATCCAAAGCCTGTGCCCAGAGCAATGCCACCAGCCAAGGGTTTGGGGCCCTTTACCTCTTTTGCGTTATAAAAATGACACTTTTTCCCCATGTTCCAAACACATATTTATATCCAATTATATATTGAGGGTGAGTTTTTAAACTACATATAACCCTCACCCCTACTATCAACACTGAAAATCAAGTCACCCCTTTAGAGATTAATGACACTTAGCAGCCACTGTAATTATAGGTATTAAACAGGTTGGTGCCATTGGATGCCTTCTTCCACTGCTCCCTACAAATCATTTGGAAATGCAGTCACAGAGCCCAGAACTGCAGAAATTCAAGGGCACCTGGAATGCTTATTTAAGAATGCAGATTCATAGGCCCCATCTTAGACAGATGCAGTCACCGTGCCTAAGGGTGGGACAAGGTCATCTGCATCCTAGCAAGTTCCCCCACAGGGGGACAATAGTACATACTGTGCCTAAGCTCCAAGTTTGGGAAATCCACAAATCTCTGCCTGGGGTATAGCTGAGAAGGTACTATGAACTCCAGGGAGAGCTGGGGTCTGGACATTTTCGCCTCTCCAGTGACTGCTTCCTTGGGACAGGAGCTCATGTGCCCCAAAGCTTTCCTTGTGCTGCTGCTGCCCAGTGTTTGCACAATGAGGCTGTCTTAGTCAACTCAAGCTGCTGTAACAAAATACCACAGACTGTGTTATTTAAACAACAGGTGTTTATTTCTCACAGTGCCGGAAAGAAGTCCTAGATCAAGGTGCCAGCAGACCTGGTTCTCAGTGAGGGCCCACTTCCTGCTCCGCAGACAGCCACCATCTTCCTGTGCACTCACATTGTCTCTTCTTGGGTGCGCAGAGGGAATTAGGACCCTAATGCCGTGATGAGGGCTCCACCCTCATGGCCTCCTCTAATGCTCTTACTTTCCAAAGGCCTCACCTCCTAATACCGTCATTTTGGGACTGGGGCTTCAACACAAGCATTTTGGGGAGACACAAACATACAGTCCATAACAGAGGATCTGGGCAAGCTGGGGTTTACCAGAAGCTCATCCTTGAGCAGAGTGAAGCCACTGGGGTGTCTTGTCTGCACTTGTAGACCAAACCTGTTACTTTATGATCCTGTCCTTTCCTTATTTCTCCGGAACCCTTCCTTCCTCCTGCTCTGTCTTGCCTCTTCCCATGTTACAGCATCCCCGCCTTGAGAAAGCAACAGACACGCCCCCTTTCTGGCTGGGTGCGTCCAAAAATGTTTGCATGCTCACTCTTGGGTGCTGGGCTTTACACACAGGTGTGGTCCCTCTGGACATATGGGGGATTCCCCTATCCCCTGGATTTGGGTCCTTGTCCTTTGAATGGGCCACTCTTCCATTGGCGTGTTCCAGTCACAAGGCTACCTCACGTGTCTGTTTCCAGCAGATTTAAAGCAGTGTGGGTTATTCGTGTGAAGGTTTCCATGTCAGAGCATGCACGTCTGCCGGCCCCTCTGCTTTTTCCTACCACGGTAACCAGCGACACCTTCTGATGTTAACATGCACGTGAATGCTCCAGGTCGAGCCACTCTCTCGCCTCCTCTACCCCCCATCTCACGCTTCCATGGCTGTTTCCACCTCTTTACTATTGCTCACATTCTCCCCTCTCCCCAGAACATCCTCCTCAGGTCTCTCTGCCTATCCAGAATCCTCCATTCCTGCTTCTTTCCTTGACTTTCTTCATTTTGCTAAATTCCTTGGGGCTATTCTTAATGTGTGGTCTGTAGATGAATTTCAGGAAGTTTGTGAATGTTCCTCCCCACCATGAACGTTCCATGGTCTCTCTCCTGTCCCAGCCTTTATGGGGGCTGTTCTCACTCTCTGGAAGGCTCTCTCTTCCACCGAAGTCCCCCAGCCCCACACCAACACACACACTTCACCCTCTGAATCATCTTCCCAGAAATATACAGACATTTATGGGGACCCCCTTTGTTGACAATTAATTATACTTTGCTTTACCCTCTCTCAGCCAATGCATAAGCTTTTTGATGGCAGGGACTCAGGAACCTCCCCTTTTATTCCTCCCTGCTCCACACCCTCCCCAACGCACATACTTTGTGCACACACATCAAATCCAGCCTTGCTTTCCTCTGCGTTCCCTTCTGCAGTGAGACGGCCATCATTCCCTCAGTTGCCCTCCACGCCCAGCCCTTCAGGTTACAACATAGACGTCATCTCTTCTGGAAAGCCTTCCTCAAATTACATCATCTTCTGGGACGGCCTGGATCAGGAGACCCTATTGGCTGCTTCCACGGAGCCCTGCAGTTCTCTGCCATGGGATGTGCTGTGCTGTGCTGCTGTGCTTTGGCTGTCCATCTGTGTCTCCCAAGACGTGGTTCCTTCTGTGAGGGGAGGGAAGCCAGCCATATTACTGTCATATGAAATGCATTCAATAGATAGCTATTGAATGCTTGATGAAAAGAACTGGAGATGAATGATTGTTTTGTCTGGATGGTGCCGAGCAAAACAAAACTGGACTGGAAAACCTGTTGCAGCAAATCTTACCATTTCTCCCAACATCACACTGAAGTCACTTGAGGGTCAAGTGCTGGCTGGGGGCACCGTGACATATCCTCTCCCCCTGGAGTGAGACAGTAGTTTTGACTGTATTCTCAGGAGTTTGGTGCCTGGACCTGTATGGGTTTGGTGATGAGTTTGAGGATTACATTAAGGCTGGGGCTGGGGAGAGGCTCAGCCTTGGGCTTAGGGCTGAGGGGTGAATATAGAGCTGGACTGAGGATGTAAATAGGGTTGGGGGGAGGCGGAGGTTGAGGCTAGGGCTGCAGATCAGGACAGGGCAGAGGCTGAGGGCTGGCTGAGGCTCAGGCTGATAACAGGGAGGGGGTTGGCTCTAGGGATGAGGGTGAGGCTGGGCTGGGGCCTCGGTGGGAAACAGGGCTGGAATTGGGGATGGGGTTGGGGCTGGGGCTTCCTCTACATTAAATCCCTCTCCCTACAGTATCTGGGGCTCTGAAGGTCATTCCAGAAGTCAAGCTGGACGGACTGCTGGGAGGATCTGTTATCATCGAGTGCCCGCTTCCTGAAAGGGATGTGAGGCTCTATCTGTGCCGGAAGGCAGCCCAGTCTGGAATATGCAGCACCGTGGTGTCCAACAGGAACTTCGTCAGTGAGGAATACAAACACAGAGTCACTCTGGAGCTGTGTCCAGACAGGCACCTGTTCCTGGTAGAGGTGACAGAGCTGACCAGGAGCGACAGCGGAGTCTACGCCTGTGGGGTGGGCATGAACACAGACCGAGGCAAGACCCAGCAGGTCACCCTGATTGTTCACAGTGGTAGGTGCTCCCCCAACTGGAGGCTCAGGCCACCCAGAAAACATTTCCTCTCCTAAAGGCTGGAACAACCATCACATCATAGCAGTCCCCAGACTCTTTCATCATTGCCATGTTAGCCAGTCCCGCGGGAACTGGGATTTGTATAGTTGAAACCTCATAGAGTCAGTGAACTTCATGGTCCACTGAATTTCCTGTCCAAACTGTGTGAAAGGAACAGGATGCTTTCCTCGGGTGGTGTTGTACCCATCCCGTCCAGGGCAAGAGGGGAGGTGGGGGGTGAGACTGAGAAGGGGCTGAGACTAGAGGAAACTGGAAGCAAAAGGATGTACTTGGCCACATAATCATCCCATGAGAAATAACAAGGATAAATACAGAGGAAAGACAGGCATATTTCAAGCCGCAGTTTAGACCAAACCTGTTACTTTATGATCCCGTCCTTTCCTTATTTCTCCAGAACCCTTCCTTCCTCCTGTTCTCCACTGCCTTCTTCAGACACACACAGCACTAACTCAACAACCTAGACTCCCAGCGGCCTCAGGGAATGCTGACTGGGTCAGGATGAAAAAAATCTCTCTCAGGGAAGTCTCACCCAGCTCTCTTTTCTGCTCCTCTTGGTGTGCCCTACCCTCATCCCCTCGCTGCCATCTGCCTGACTGAGTCAACTTCAGTTCATACCAGCAGACCCCTCCCCAGGCCTGGGTCTCATCCTAGAAGCCACCAATGGATTCCTCTTGCCTCCATAGATTACGAGTCATTCTGGGAAGAAGAGCCAGTACCTGAGCCTCCAGCATGGTTTAATAGATTACTACAATTGCACATGCTTCCCTGGTTCCAGATGCCTGCACATGCCAGCCCTTTACAGTTCATATCCAAAGGTCAGTTCACCAAAGCCAGAGTGGTGGGTGGGGGAGATTTTATGGCGTTGTGAAAACAGAGAAGAGGGTATGTGTTCAGTTCAGAGTCACTGGCAGAGCACAGCTGAGTCTAGGTGTGTATTTCCCTGCCTTAGGAGAGGATACCTCCCTGAAATCGAAGTTCTATGTCCTTCAAGCCCATCCTTCAGTCTGGACGCTTGGCACTAGTTGCAGAACTTACATATTACCACCAGGTGGCGCCATAAGGAATGAAGTTTGTGCTCCATTCACAAAGTCTAGCTCTTTTATGAATGACTGTGGCAATCAAGACTTGGGCAGACGTTTCTCAGCCAGAGGCCCTCACGCCTCCTGCTCCCCATAGGGCTGTCTTCCACTTGCTGGCATACAGTGATTTAACAGATCTATTTTGCAATAAAAAGATTAATAAGGATTTACTACTTATACATTTATGTTTCTATCATTTCCGTGTCTCAAATGCATTTTGACACACAATATTATTTTCCACATCCTCACATCTGCCCCCATGAGATAGATACATTAGTTGAATACTGTTACACTAGAGGACTTTGCTGGCTACCCAGAGGGGGATGGTGTAACTGAGTTCACTGTATACAATACACAAGGCTGTGACTGACAGGTGTGGGCTGGGGGAGACTAGACAAGCACATAGGTATAGCACAAGGCAGGCTGGGAATTGAACCACAGACAAGGTTTTCTCCATGCTCAGCAGGCAAGCTCTTCTGCCTTGGAAGTCAGGAAACGCTTCCAGTAGGAAAAGGAGTTTGAAGATATTTACTAGGTGTAGATGGCATGCTCAGAAGGCATCTCAGGCTATGAGAAGTGCAGGAAAAGGCAGTCTAGGTAAAAGGGAAGAATGTGTTCAAGAAAGAAATGGTTGACACAATGCTGTTGGAGATTACAGTGTGTATATGGAAGGTCACTTTTCCCTGCTGTTTCCTGCAGCAACCACAACAGCTCAAAGGACGGAGGCCCCTCCAGCACACCATTCCTCCCCCACCATCTCAATCACCCACCGCCCTCGAGTTTCCAGGGTATCTTCAATAGCAACTCCTGAGCCCACAACCCTCCTGCCATCCACCAAAACCCCAAAAATCTCAGCCCGGGAGGAACTGCTCAGGCCCCAGACAGCCAGCTACAACCACCAAACCCGGCTTCACAGGCAGAGGTAAGGAGCCTCCACCATCTCGGATGGGCTAAAACCAGCACAGTAATGTGGAGTTAGGAGATCCACTGAAATCTTCCCGAAGTGTCTATTAACAGAGACCTTTCTTGACTTAGTCTCTAGAAGCCACTGTGAAATATACCACCTATGAGTCTAACACATTAACTTATTAGTTCTCTGAACAAGAACACATTTAGTGCCCCAGCAGGAGATCTTGTAGGAGACCTAAATCTTTCAGTCTCTCAGCATTTACTCAGATCTATTTGGATGGGGAAGAACTAAAGGAGTATAAAATTAGATACTAAGCTATTAAAATTAATTTCACGCGTTTCCTTTTACTTTTTCAATGTGGCTACTAGGAAATGTAAAATTACATATGTGGGTCACATTACATTTCTGTTAGACAGCATTGGTCTTAAGGCAGGGGTACAACCCAGGAAAGTGCTGCAACGGACCACTAGGGGGCATTGCATCCTCCAAAGAAAACCTATAATACTAACTGAAATTATTTTTGCCTAAGCAAAGACACTCACGTTAGTAAAGAAAAGGACCTCCAACATCATTTGGGTCATAGAGATAGGAGACTGAGCCCATGAGAACTGAGCCGTAGTTCTATTTGAAGCCAGAACCAGAATTCCTGATTCCTAGTTCGGTAAACTATACCAGCCTATTAGCAGAGAAGAATTCAAGTCAGCTCAACCAACATTTTCTCAAATCTCTATGTGCCAGGCATTGTACTATGTCCTGAAGATGTGAAAAACTTGCAAACATGAGATATCCAGGTCTTAGATTATTAACTAATGCAGTATGACTATGATAAAGGGTTGTAACTGGTTGAAGTGGTGACACAGAGAAAAAAAGGATTCTGATTTCACCATGATTGGAGAAGAAAAGAGGACTTAGGCACTGGGCCTTTAAAGAAAGTAAGATTTCAATATGTAGGGAAAAAATGGAGGGAGGACCTTCTAGGCAGAGAGAATACCACGAGAAAAACATCCTCTTTTCCACAGTTATAAGAAACTAACTCATTTAATATTTGCAATGATCTCATGAGGAAGCAGGTGTAGAAAGTTGGAAGTGGAACTGACATTTGTTGACTGCCTGTTTAGACCAGGCCCATTAAATTTTTTACATTCACTATTTTCTTTCATCCTTAAACCAATCTGGTCAACACATTTTCCTATACCCATGGGAAATGAGGCTCAGAGAAGTTAGGAAACTAATTAAAGATCACACAGCCAGAAAAAGCTGAACCTGAATTTGAATCCAGGTTTCCTGACTCCAGAGACAGGCTCTTTTGGGGGTCTCCATAAAAGTTGGCTACTTGGGTGTTGCCTTAAACCCCACCTCCCTTCCTGACCTCTACCTTCTCTCTCCCCCTCCTTTCCTGTTCAGAGCCTTCAACCACAGCCCAGGACGGATGTCTGCGATGGAAGACCAAGGATTCCACATCCTGATCCCCACCATCCTGAGTCTCATCCTGCTGGCACTTATGGGACTGTTGGCAAAAAGGGTCATTCAAAGGAGGAGAGGTGAGGAGGTCGGGCTCCGTTAGGGAGCGCTGAGCTGTCCAAAGGGCGCAGCGCATTCAGACCTCTCCGATCTCCTGGGGACACTCGGTTACTTTAGATGAGCAGCCTAGGATATGGGGAACGTGGGAGGGGCTCACTTGTCTGGAAATGGGGACGGGAAAGAGCGCTGCCTGGACCCTTTGGTCTTCTGCCGAGGGCAAGGCTGTGCCTCTTACATTACATTCTGAGCATCTACAGTCAGACGTTGCCAGACACCGGGGAGGAAGACAGCCTTCAGTTTCCTAAAACTTGGGGGCGGGGAGGGGGTGGCCATGGGCCTCTGACGCTTTTTTCCTCTCTCCCCGTGGTTTTGCCCCGAAGCTCTCTCCAGGCGGGTCCGCCGACTGGCCGTGAGGATGCGCGCCCTGGAGGCCTCCCAGAGGCCCGTGTCGCAGCGGCCCCGCGTGTCGCAGAGGCCGCGCACCCAAAACAACATCTACAGCGCCTGCCCTCGGCGCCCTTCGGGGGGACGACGCTGCTGGTGAGAGCGCGGGCAAGGTGTGGGGGAGACGCGGGGTCGGGGACGGGGCGGGAGCCTAGAGCTGCAGCAGCAGA